AAGCCGCTCCTATAGCCTAGAAGCCCGCAGCAAAGAAGCCCGCAGCCAAGAAACCTGCCGCCGCTAAGAAGCCCAAGACCGCAGCAGCGAAGAAGCCCGCCGCTAAGAAATCTCCGAAGAAGGCCAAGAAACCCGCTGCTAAAAAGGCAACGAAGAGCCCCAAAAAAGCAAAGAAACCAGCGACTCCTAAGAAAGCAGCCAAGAGCCCTAAAAAGACCAAGGCAGCCAAACCCAAGACGCGAAGCCTGAAAAGACAGCAGCCAAGAAGAAATAAACAAATACATTTTAACATGTGTTTTATTAAAACGGCTCTTTTAAGAGCCACCCACTAATTCAAAGTGAGAGCTTTATTTCTGTTCAGTGTCGCGTAATGTTGCATTTGGACGTTATTGAGAATTAATGTTCTGCTTCAAGTCAGACATTTATCTTGAATCACTTTATTATGCTTAAAACTAATGAAATAAATAATAGGTGAGACAGGTTGATGTAATATTTAATACACAAAGGTACTTGAAAGTGTTTTAAATAAAGTCAAAAATGTATATAAGTAAAAATAAAGGAATACATAGAAAAATAAATAAAGGTAAACAAAAAAGAAGCTTGTAAACATGGTTAACATTGTGCTTGAGGGTCAGTAAAGAGGGTGGGGTTTGAAGTTCGGAGGGAAGTTCACTGATTGGCTTGGAACGTATTCAGACTCCAGCCAATAGGAGACTGGCACGGTTTCTTTTAAAAGTAACGTCGCATCTTTCTGTATCATTCAATCTTTGAGCTGAGTTGTAGAAGTTGTTATTACAATGAGTGGAAGAGGCAAAACCGGAGGAAAGGCTCGTGCTAAAGCCAAGACTCGCTCCTCCAGAGCAGGACTGCAGTTCCCCGTTGGTCGTGTTCACCGGCTTCTCCGCAAAGGCAACTATGCCGAGCGCGTCGGTGCCGGTGCTCCGGTTTATCTGGCCGCTGTGCTCGAGTACCTCACTGCTGAGATCCTGGAGCTGGCTGGAAACGCAGCTCGGGACAACAAGAAGTCCCGCATCATCCCCCGTCACCTGCAGCTGGCGGTGCGCAACGACGAGGAGCTGAACAAGCTTTTTGGTGGCGTGACCATCGCTCAGGGCGGCGTGCTGCCCAACATTCAGGCCGTGCTGCTGCCCAAGAAAACCGAGAAACCACATCCCCCGTCACCTGCAGCTGGCGGTGCGCAACGACGAGGAGCTGAACAAGCTTTTTGGTGGCGTGACCATCGCTCAGGGCGGCGTGCTGCCCAACATTCAGGCCGTGCTGCTGCCCAAGAAAACCGAGAAACCCACCAAAGCCAAGTAAACCGAGTGGCGTTTATTCTCAAACCAAAGGCTCTTTTAAGAGCCACACATTTTCTCCATGTGAGAGCGATTTTTCATTCAGTTGGTATAGACCATATTTGAGAAACCCATTTTGAAGTTTATTTTATTTAAAACAAGCTGTTTCAAAAGTCATTTATTTTATTTGAAATTCCGTATAATTCTCAATGACTGTTTTATTTCTCTAGTTTAGTGAAAATGTGGTCCTTGAACAATTTTAAAGTAACGTTAGCATGCCATATTGCATTTAAATTCTGCAGTACTAGTTATAATAATTTACGCAGACGCTTTTATCCAACGCATCTTGCAGTGCATTCAGGCTATTTTTTATTTTTTTAACCAGTATGTCAATGATTTAATGTGTATTAATTAAAAAAAATCCCATAATCTGGCATACAAATTTAAAACCGACTTCGCCTATTCTGTTTTCATACAAAAGAGAACAATAATGCAGGACATTTAGGCGGGAACAACAAACTGTCGTCTGTAGTTTGAAAACAGGAGAGGCACATTCATTGGTCAACTGTCATTTTGAGGCCCCAGACAATAACCAATCAAAAACCACTGACTCTACGCCGTCCAATGAGCGCATGGCAGCTGTAGACTTAAAACAAGCCTTGTGTTCAAGCTCGTCTTATTCTTACTTTTTGATGTAGTACTATTCTGTCAGATAATGGCTAGAACCAAGCAAACCGCCCGTAAATCCACCGGAGGCAAAGCCCCGAGGAAGCAGCTCGCTACTAAAGCCGCTCGTAAAAGTGCACCAGCTACCGGTGGCGTTAAGAAGCCTCATCGTTACAGGCCCGGAACCGTAGCTTTGAGAGAGATCCGCCGTTATCAGAAATCCACTGAACTACTAATTCGCAAACTGCCCTTTCAGCGTCTGGTGAGAGAAATCGCTCAGGATTTCAAGACGGACCTACGCTTCCAGAGCTCCGCTGTCATGGCGCTGCAGGAGGCCAGCGAGGCTTATTTGGTCGGTCTGTTTGAGGACACCAACCTGTGCGCCATCCACGCCAAGAGAGTCACCATCATGCCCAAAGACATCCAGCTGGCCCGCCGCATCCGCGGAGAGCGCGCTTAAATATACCGCTGCATCACCAATAACGGAACCCAAAGGCTCTTTTAAGAGCCACATAAATTGCACTTAAAGAGTTTCAGTTTTAATCCTGTTCTTAGTGAATAGATGGCATCGTTGCACTCTTGCGATAAATTAATTTATTTAAAGTGTTTTCTGTTGCTCTGTTTTAATGTATAGTTTTAATGTATAATTTTACACGCAGACACTGATAATCTATTTTTATATAAAGGCTATTTTCCATATTACAGTGTCAATACCATTTATTCTTACCATCTACGTATACTCTGCAGGATAGCACATTTCATTGTCATGCTGTAGTATGGGGGCGCCGCGTCACGTGGCGTTGGGTTCTATTAGGTCCTTTAAGCGAGTGTGAAAGGCTCTTTATTTCATCCACAGAAAAGCATTATTCGGAAAAGGAGGCCCTACGCATCACCGTAAGGTTTTGCATGATAAACAAATCTAACAACCTTGCACAAGTAACTAACTGACCATAAAACATGTTCTCTAAAATTACTTCTGAGTAGCGTTTTAGTGAAGCTGTCCACATTTTTCCGTTGTGTCTTTAATCTGTAAATGATTCTCAAGATTGGGTTTCTTAAAGTGCAATTACGGTGTACAAAACACAAAGTTAGGCTATATTATTATATTACCCACCATAAAGCAAAGACAAGAGTAAAGACTTTT